AGTACTGTGTGTTTATGATATTGAAAGTTGACTAGGCATTTGTATATTTGTAAGATCTCTTTTAAATTTGCGCTGATAACATTTCCCAAAAAAATCTTCCAAAATACATAAATATCCATATGTATTCCAGAATCTATGTACATGTTTATATTCGGAATATTTAATGAAGACAATTTAGTGAATTGATTGATCAAGCGATCACAAGCTCACAATAGAGTTTCCATGACAATGTGATGCATATTGATCCAGGGGGGTGTTTCACAAAGATCCTAAGTTGAACTTATCTCTAAGTTGGACGTAACACTTATGGAGAGCTGTTAACATCTTTGAACATATTTTTTGAAAGTTATTTTAAGAGGCATAAAATGTTGATTCAAATCATTCATATTTTCTATTATCAAGGACATTTCATGTTTTTGATGCCGAATTTATGAAAAGTCTAAAATCTTGAAGTTTTGCTTTTGAATATATTTTATTTTAAGGCTACAAATGGCTCTCCATAATGTTTAAGTCCGTCTTAGAGTTAAGTTTGACTTAGGATCTTTGTGAAACACCCCCCAAGGATTGATTTCTTATATAAATTATAAGCTGTATTTGATAAAAATTTGATTAATTATTTCAGAAGGTTGCCTGGCAAAGGTGAAGGGTCACAATCAGTTTTTGATCTACAGAGAAGTCAACTCTAAAATGTATATGTGTGATATTTTTGTATATTTGTATTATTCTATTTCAAAACACATGGAGAAACCTGTGTACAGTAAGACTACTATTGGATCAATTAATAATGTAACATTTAGAAAGTAAAATTGTTGTCAAGTTACTTTTATTTAGGAGACACAATGTTCTTCATTAATACTTGTACCTTGAACAAATTTTTACTCTCAAAATTATCTGTAAATAGAAATGAAGGTCTAGACAAATCGTCCCAGACTTCAAAATATATTTGTATGTACAGTTAATATAATTGAATTAATAATTTGTGTGTGTGCTGTACAGAATATATGTAACTTAACATTATCATGAAATTAGAAGTGTGTACGTGTAAGTCTAGCGACGGGAATCGTTTTCAAAAGTTCTGTTTTCTCTTTATTAATGTAAGTATTAACCACTCTGATAGGGAAAGAAGTTTTTAGTTCTGCTACGATCTTCCACCGATAAAAATCATCAGGAATATTCTCTTTCCAATCCATCTTTCATCCACCGTTAGTTCTTACTGTCTTACTATTGTTTGTTTCCATCAATACTTTATATCAATACCAACCCATTAATGACCTGCAACGAGGAAAACAAATTCTTGGTATATCCTCCCGGTAGTTTGTGGATTCTGATCTGAATACAGCACAAGTTAACATCTTTTTATGAAATTTTGAATTGAGGTTGATCATTTATTGACTGCAGTAGAGCTTGAAGGGAGCTAACTCATATAATTCAAAATAGAGTTAACACCCTTTTGGCTCAAAACAGATAAGATATAATGTAACATATGCATCTATCATGTAAGTTGATCATTTTAATATCGTAATACATCATTGTGCTATAAAACATGCATGCACTGCCACTAATATTCTACTATTGTCTCTTTTGGAGCCCAAGTTTCAAATAGTCTGAAAAAATGGTAGTGCTCTTGTATGTTAATGCTTGACATAATGCAATTTGTGGATAATAAAGTTGGAGACATGGGAGCAAGAAAGGCCCAACTTCATCAACACAATTTTTGAATTTTTACTAAAAGTTTGAATTTTGAGAAGATTTCTTTTCCTTTCTCTCACTATTCAATTTATATTATCCATGTCAGTATCACCTTGAGGTTATAGCCTATACAATTATGCCATGATGACACTATTTCTTATTTTGATGCAATATTTAGAAAATATTTTTTGAATACATTGTTGTCATCTTATCACCTTTATCATTTTATGATGCCTTATCATCCACCTACATGCCTTCTGCTTCTTAGAAGTCTTTCAACTTTTGAGAGCGAATATGGCATAAGTTTGTTAAGTTCTCATTCTAAACTTTATATGTGATTGCTATAGTTTATATTAGGACTGTATGCTATGTAAACATATTATACTGTAGTATATAAGATTAGGATCAGTGATTGTAAATTAGAAACACTGTCCCATCAAATTGTTCACCAATGGTTCGGTCATAGATCATCATTGAAGTGTAAGGAAAATCATTCTCTTCTGAAGAATAAAAACATGAGGCTTTGTTGTCGCCATGTTCACTTTAAACATGAAGGGCACAAAAGAGAACACAAACAATGATTTTCAAGTATATACATCAAGCATATACATCAAGTATATACATGTAATATACATGTGTATATATATTTCTTGTTGTGTCATTATATGCAATATATCATCTTTTGAGAGCCAGAATGGCATTAACTCCTATACTTTTAAACAAAATAAGGCGTGTCGGGCTCTGAGCAGAAGATATATACCACATCATGCTATACATATATATATACATATATATATATATATATATATATATATATATATACAGTAATACTGCAGCACTATATTTGCATTTCGTATATGTCCCACCTGATATTCATCTGTACCTCACTTTTCATATTTTACATATATCCGGTTTTGGAGTGTCCTTGTATATGCACCACCGTCTTTCACATTTCATTCCTGGTTGAGGTGTCTTATTCATCATCATCATATTTGCTGTCTAAATTTATTATATCATATAAAATGTATTATATTATATATCGAAGGGCTGAAGAACATTTATCAACTTTCTTTTCAGAATTTGATATGAATATTTAAAGTACAAGTATAATTCAGAGAGAATTATTATTACAGATAACTTTCATTTAAAACATATTTTAGTCTATAGGAATCTATTTGGTTTTATGGATAACATCACCTTGTTTTTCTTGTACATGCCTTATCATAGATAATTTGCATTCTTTGTCTTTCACGTTTCAAATAGGTTTCAACATTGCATTCTTATGTATTTTCTGAAGGTTTTGAAGAAGAAAAAAAAAGAACACATTATATAAAATACATGTATTACCGATAGAGATAAACTTTCACGATTGTATTGTGTAATAATGAGAAAAGCTGTTTTTACTTATAAGCCAAGCTAGGTGACAAGGATGTGATGTATGAGGCTTAGAATAAATCCCTCTTAGAAATGATGGATTGATGGAAGGGAAATATATCGGTCTGTTCACATTGAGGTCCAACTAATGCACTTGTTTTTAATAATTTGTTTTAGAGTCATTTTTCAAAATGACCAAGATAAACTATGTACCGTCCATTATGAAGGTTTTGCAATATAAGAATTGTTAAAATCTGATGATAATTAACAAAGTATAAGATAGATGTCTATATGTGTCTCTAATGGCTGTCTTTATTATGTAAATATTTGTAAATGTTCTATTTTTAAGAAATGTATGAACTTCTCTCCTTGGTCTGTGCCTTTGTTAATAAAGTATTTTCCTGACTGTGATACTTCAGTGTTTGTGTGATATTTGTTACATGCGAATGATGGGTCTTTGAGCATAAAATAAGTTTTTTGACCGATTTGATAAAACCTGATTGAGTAGTGACTAGCCATAGATTTGACACAGAGTTAACACCCTACTGGCTCACAACAGATGCAATCGTAGGTTGGTCTTCAACTGTTGATTGCGGATGATGTATTTGGTTGATTGGTAGATCATTTGATTTATTGTTTGATGATTGGCTCGTTTGATCGTTCATTAATTGAGTAATTGATTGGTTAGTGGATTTATGAATCAATTCAATGTTTAGTATTGATTGATCATCAGATGAGTGAAGTAATGGAATAAATGATTCATTGATTACTGGATTAATGCGCTATTAAATTCATCAATGGAATAGTGAATTGGTGGGGGAAATAAATAATTAATGGATTAAATTGCACCAATTAATCAGCAGATATAAGTGAACAGGTTGAATAATAATAATAATTACAGTGCTTATATAGCGCCTAACACTTATTTTGTCAGAAGTCTCTAAGCGCTCTACAATAATGCAGCATAATTACCCTGGCTTTAGTAGTGCAGCTGTTACGCGCGCTGCGTTTCAAGGAATAAATTCCTACCAGGTACCCATTTACTTCACCTGGGTGGAGTGTGGCAAAATGAATAAATCATTAATTGATCAGTGGATTGATTCATTTGTTAATCAATGGATAAGTGCATTTGCCCCCAACTTTGAATACTGGAATACATCTTCCCCCTCCCTCACCGCACCCCTCCCCCACCCCTTAGCCACTGGGGAAGGGTTGGGGGAACAACTGCTCTCTTCAGTCTTATTGAGGTGTCGTGGACGAGTGGATATGTCATCGGACTGTGGATCACAAGGTCCGCGGTTCAAGTCCCACCGCGGCACTAATGTCCTTTGGCAAGACATTGATCTACATTTGCCACTCTCCACCCAGGTGTTAAATGGGTACCCGGTAGGATGTGAAAGCTAATGTGCTTAGATTAGCAAGTGTGCGCTTGTAAAAATGACGCCAGGCTGGAATGCTCCCCAGGGAGTGGAGAATGTGCATACATTGTGTGCGGGTAAGCCTTGAATCCGATGACCGGGGTAATAGTATATAATAGTATATATATCTGTAAGGCTGTAAGGCTCTGATAGGGCCCTCCTGAAAAAGCGCCATATAAGAAATAGTTATTATTATTATTATTATAAAGCGGCAAGCCTTTGGTACACAACCCCAACATCGTAGCCCTTTCAAAAAAAATTTACCTCAAAATGTAACAATTTAAAAAGAATGTTGTTTAATTATCAGAGAATTTAAGGTTAAAAAATGCACACACGACATCCTCGATCCGCTCCCTTCTTTGACGCATTTGCTGTGTGCATGACAGATGCACTTCGATAAGCGCGTACTCTGCTGTGACGTAATAAAAGGATGCGCACACTACCCTATGTTGCTTACTGCGCCACAACACAATAGGGGGTGGATCAACAATGCAATGACACATTTTCAACACTGTACATAGATCATTAGATAGGGTCTAAATCACAGTATTTGATTAAAGGAAGCTTGAATTTTCATACCGGAAAAATGGCTAACATTTATACGAGACGGGATGGAAAGCCAAGAACAACTACCTTCGCAGATTTCAAGTTTCACAAAGATTTTTCTTATAAAAATACTAAACTTCAAACAGCAAGACTTTTGTCTCCGAATCGTAGTAAAAACCCACATTCACTTGGTTTGATCTACCAAAATCCGTACAACAAAGATAACCTGGTATGTGAGCACATTATTATTCTTTTCTTTTCTTGTTTGGTAAGCTTTGTTCTTCTATCAGACAATATACATGTACGTCTAGTCTACTTGATTATTATTAACATATACCGGTAGTATTTTTTTAAAAGATTACCGGAAATGAAAAGTAAAATGAAATGAAAATGGTATAATTAGGGCGAATGGCTGTATCTTACTTTTTTTAGCAAAACTCTACATGTTCAAAAACAATAACTAGTCTAAACGTGTAACGTTTGGCAAATCTCTTGACCTTCGCCTTCTCAACATTAAGATCTATGCAATCTATGTTATGACAAACTCCTGTGGGCCTAAATGCTCCTGTATCCCCTCGAAATTGTCTCTAATAATAAGTCCACATCTACCCTCCCTCCTCCTTCTCCTCTCTCTCTCTCTCTCTCTCTCTCTCTCTCTCTCTCCCTCTCTTCCTTTCTCTCTCTCTCTCTCTCTCTCTCTCTCTCTCTCTCTCTGTTTGTCTCCTCTTTTCAGACCTTCAGTATATGGAGCCCTCCGTTCTGCAAGAACTTCCAAGACAAGTTTAGCCATATGCGTAAGTTATTGTAGGATTTATCAATAGTCACTCCCCCGTTTCTCTTTTATTAAAGAACGCGGATGATATAGACCAGGCCTTCTCAACTAGTTTATTAGAAGTGCCAACACAAAAGGAAATTGTGGTTGAGGTGCCAAACTGTATGTTTTGTTTCTGTGCTGCGAGGGAGCGTAGCGACCAAGCCGACAGCGGGGGTGCAGGAGACGCAGCCCCCTGAAGCTGTTGGATTTTAGGGCACATTCTAAAGACCCAGATGTGGAATTTTTAACACCTTTTTATTCCCAAATATTTCAATCATAATTTCATATTGATGTGAAAAAATTAGTACAATTCCTGGGTACAATTACATTGGAGGTAAATTTATATGTACCTGTAGTTATTTTGGTGCAATAAACACAGGATAATTAAAGCCTCGGTCACAAATGCCATTACAAACTGCTACGAACGCCGTACGAACATTTTTTAGACGATGGAAATTCGGAAAGACAATGGAAAAACAGGGAGATTCGTACGAATTATCGTTCGTACAAATCTTTGTGAGCGTAGCATAAGTGAAAATCAAACAAACAAAAACAAGTTGTTAAATTTGGCAGCTGCATTGTAAGCCTATTGAAGATTAGAGCTCAGGTTTAAAGTCGTATAAAATTGTAAAAACCGTTAAATTCCCCTTTCTTCCTGTTTGGTAAGCAGACATTTTGGGCTCAACTTCAACTGCGAATTTTGATTTTGCTGAGTTTTTCATTCTAAAATATAATTATTAATTAATTATTTAATTAATTAATTTTTATTTTTGGGGGGCAACCGTGACAGTCGTGCGCCACTCCGACTGACCCAAAGCGCCACGAGTGGAGCGCGCGCCGCCAGTTGAGAAGGCCTGATATTTATTGTTGTGCAGCTGTATGTTTATGGTTGTATCACGGGTTATCTCGAGCCGACCAATGAGTACCAACTGGGCATGAGATGAAAACATATTGACAATGAATTGTTTAATTCTATAAGTTTTCGTTTTCACTGGCTGCCTGCCGTAGCAACAAACATCAAACTCCGTTTCGTTGACGATCAGCCATGCATGAAGTCTTCCGTCTTCTTTGTTGTTAGGGCAGGCAGCCAGTGGAACGGATTCGTTTCATAAACTTATGGAAATGCAAGCAATACTTTAAACCAACAGAACTTTGTTATTCCTGGCTCATTTTTCTTGATTGAGGTGTCATATGAAAGGGAAAAAAAATGAACTTTCTATAGAAATGTTTTTTTTTTTGAAATTCAGATATCGTTCGTAAAATGTCTCTTTGGTACCTAGCATTCGTATTTTGTTTATTACTCATGAGTGAAATATACATCATATGAGTTGCATCAAAATAATGAAAGAGGAGGATCTAAGCTTTACAAATATGTGCCATTTATTAATTATAATTTTGATTAAGTTATGATAAAACATCGATAATTCTTGGTTTCGTTTTTTCTGGGAGGCCGACAGGACATTCAAAAATAGATAGAAACAGAAAAGAGAGAGAGAGGAGAAGAAAGAGAGAGAGAGAGAGAGAGAGAGAGAGAGAGAGAGAGAGAGAGAACAAGGATGCCATTTATTAATTCGTAATGTCTACTGTTCGACTTTAACCGATCTGTAGCCTACATAATAGAAATAGCAAACAGTCATGATGAAATGTTCATTGTGTATAGACAGGGTTCTTTAATTTTAACATTTGTTTCCCTCTGGATTCATTATAGAAGAAACTAATTGGACTTGCAAACACGAGGCCACATGCGAGAACCTACTCGAACAAGGTAAGACTAAATAGCTGTCGGCGAAATGAAGATATATATCATTTAGATAATATTGGATTTCATAATATTTGTTTTTGAAATAAATTTTATCCCAAATAGTTTATGAAAAAAAGAGCAGTGGTCTTCGTAAGGAGCACTAACCTTTTTTCTTCCAAATTCGTGAGAAAATATTTAGCGCAGAATCAACACTCCCCCCCCCCCCCTCTTGCGCCAGGGGGAGTGGGCCGTCCTCTTTTTATTTCAGAAGAGGTTAAGTTTACCTGTTTGAGGGGGCCAGGGGTGGGCCCCGAGCCTCCGCCCCCCCCCCCCTAGAGTCCGCCACTGGTAGGAGGAGCCCTTCTTGATTCGCCTTCTGTCATCAAGGGGACTAGTGGAAGAAAGCGTTTGCATGCAAGATCTCTTCTACTAGCTGTTATGTGTTCTAGGTGTAAGTAATAATGAAGTACAGCTAATATATCCTACTAATAAAGCAACCTTCATCTTGCATCTGTCTCATTTCCTCAGATTTTCCGGGAAAGCCCCCGAAGATTCGCTACTCCACGAGCTCCACATCTCGACAGAGCTACCAGGATCCCGCCAAGCGTATGGCCAACTGGAAGAATTGTAGCCCCTTGCCGCCTACCCGGTACAGCTCTAATCCTGAGCGCAACCGTGACCCCGTGGTCGGGATAGGTGTGTTACAATACTTATGTTTTTGACTACATGAATAGATAGACAGATAGATAGTTTATTGGTTTCCACAATATCTCATTTTACAAAGAGTGTAACAACATATTGAAAATGATTATTTTATACATGTACATACAATACCGGTACACACTATTCAGAATATTGTCCATTAAGTTTAACTTAAAAGATAAAGTGGCGGAGCCTATGGAAAAGCAGAGCTTGCTGTGGATAGGCTCCTTAAACTAAAAATGACATAATTAACTAAAGTAAAGTTTATATAATACAAATACAAAGGGAGATTACAGGGATACATGAACCGATACTCACAATTAACTACAAAAGACAAGGAAAAGGGAAGGGAATATATCTGCAGCTTATTGAAACAATATTACAATATAGTTAGTTCTCGATATGAGTATATTATAAACATAGTTGGTATGGTCATACCGTTAGTTACTCATTGTAATGAACAAAAGTATACAGGTTGGAGACAAGAATAGTCAGGAATCAGGAATGAAAATATGTATTCAAACAATAACTTTTCAATTTTCTTCTGAATACATGTACACTTACAGACCTTTTAATCACAGAATCGAGAGAATTCCAGAACTTAAGACCTGTATATATTAAGGTATTTTGAGCAAAGCAAATGGGGGGGGGGGGGGGGGGGGGGGGGGGGGGGGGGGGGGGGGGGGGGGGGGGGGTGATTGTATAATTTTTGATTGGATTTTAATTTTGTCATATAGGAACAAGGCTATATAATGATTACCCCAAAATATGCCCCCCCCCCTATTTAAGTTCTTGTGTCCCTTTCACATTTGAAACCCAAAATGGCACCTGGAATTGTGAAAACCCTTATATGTGCCTTCCCCTTTAGCTGAATGCATCTCTTTCTCAATCCTCCCCCTTCTCTTTGTTTATCTACCTTTCCATCCATAATCTCTTCTTCCCCTCTCTTTCTCTGAATCATTATTAATTGTTGCTATAAGGCATACAATTTAAAAGCTTTACTTAAAAGCCATGCTCTTCTCCAATCCTTACCTTTGCATTCTTGTTATGCTTTTTCAACATTCAATGAATCATGATCAGAACTGAATATAATTCTTATTGTCATCATCATCATCATCAGTCACCTTAATGACCTTATCATTATAATCACTTTCCATCTATTCATCATTAATCATCATCTTCACCTGACATGTTACCAGTTTTCATCACTGCCCCCTCTCCCCAATCATCCCATCGTCAAATCACTACCAACAGACATGGGCATCGTTTCAAGAAACTGTCATAAGCACACCTTCACAGACATCCCATTTGGCATGGCTGTATTTGATCTAAAGTATACAATTCACCTAGCAAAACCCATTCGTGTACAGGTAGAATGTATGAAATCAAGCTCAAAAAGTATTAACCCAGCATTCTATCAGCCAACAGTTAAAGGTAATACAAAGTTTTGGTAATATCTCAACAGGTTTATGAAATTTAAAATTTGCATTACCATTGTGAAACCTAGTGTTAGAATAAGCATTTTGGAAAAAAAATTGGGCTCTAAAACGCTAAGGATATTGAGAAATGAAAATACATGTATCACATTTATTAGTGCTCTCGATAAATTTCAAATAGTGCCTGAGGCCATACAATGGTAGCTGCGACCATGAAAATCTCGGAATATGCAGTTCTGATATATAATTTTCAAACAGGAATAGAAAATCAGACAATTTTAGTAAGAAACATTGTTTGAAGATAAAGTAAGATCAATTTTGAGAGGAAGCTATACAACATAGAGAGTTTATTATTCACAATTTCATCACTTTAGACTTGTTTCAACAGCCACAGGATCGCATATGCTTCCAATATGTTCCTTTGAAACCAAATTCATGACCCCCATACCAAAACTTTGTATTATCTTTAAGGAGAATGAAGGGAACAAAAATCATCTACACCAAACCAAGTCAGACTTGCTTTTTGTGTGGGCCATATTCTATGCTAGTGCATATGTACGGGTGCGTCAATTAGTCTACCGTAGTCTCAAGTTGTTTTAATATCAATTGATAGTGTGTTTGTGCTAGTAATATCTATTTATAGACAAATTATTTGAAGCTCACATTTTGAATATAGCAACATGAAATCCGATGCATAAGGGACAAAATATTTGTTTGTGGTTCATACTCTTTACAAGCTTTTCAAAAGGGAGGTTGGTGAAATTGCAATTATTGCCTGTTTGCAGCCAGAAGGGTGTTAGCTCTGTAAAACTGATGTAAGTTAACACCCTTCTGGCTCCAAACAGATGTCATGAAAGATAAATGAAACACTGTCCTATAACCATCCTGATCAACACCACTCCGCTTCTCATCAAATCGTTTTGTCTCTTCTTTCTTTCACTTCAGTTCCGAATGCAGTTGTTCTACCACCCATCAACAAAGACGAGAAGAACACGCCCCCAAACTCTGCCACAAACCTCACCAGCTAAGAAACATGAATACAAACAACTTCAAATGGAAACATAAACCTGTATCTCATTTCTTGTAGGGAATAAAATTATCTTTATTACATTGTAAAAACCAATTAGACTTCATGAATAGGAACAAAGAAATAAATAATTCCTTTTTAGTACAACATACAAAATCATGTAAACCAATCACTGATTTTGTCAAGGAATTTAACTTCGAGGAAAAGAATAGTTTTTATCACTGTTACAATAAGTACCATAAATTAAGCTTGTCAGAATTGTTTTTGTTATTGTATATACATGTATATATATATATTTGAATAAATTCAAAGAGAAATGCATTAAATTTGTAATTTCTTGTGTGTCAAATAAAGAGAGAATTGCAAGATGTGTAGTAAAGGTAATACAGAGGGATGAAAGTGGTCATTGATTTGATTTGCTTTGTTTGTTTTTGTTGCATCAAGTTGTTGGAAGACAAATCAATAACCAAATTTGTTCAACTAGCTTTAATTAAAAGAAGACAACAAACACTGGATTTACTGTATTTGCCTGATATATCTGTTGTGCTCATAAATACACTCATCTCCTTATCTTGGGGATTCCATTTTTGTCTGTTATCATTTCCAGGGCCTCGTTGCATAAAACTTACCATTGATAATAACTTTGCCATCAATGGGAACTACCATGGTAACAGGGCTCAACAGCCAATCAAAATCAAGGTTTCCATGGTAGTTACCATTGATCGCAAAGATACCATCAATGGTAAGTGTTGTGCAACAGGGCCCTGGGATGTACATGGGTGTGTCTAGAAAAAAAAGGAAGATAAGGAGCATGTGTCTATCTGGTTCTGATGACATGCCATGCATCTGGCAGGCTAGCATGCTACCATCACACCGAGTCCTGTGGGTTCTGATGACATGCCATGCATCTGGCAGACTAGCATGCTACCATCACACCGAGTCCTCTGGGTTCTGATATGCCCGTTACATAATCACTCTTTGCTTGCAACAGACTCTCTCCAGAACAATGCAGGTTTCTGCTTGGAAAAACCAGATTGGCCGATAGTAAGAATTGCTGAAATGGGGCCTGCAGCTTCGCAAATTCTTTTTCAGAATGCCCTGAAGAGGGATTGGGGAAGTATTCTTTCATGACATGCAGCTCAGCTGCCCTTCAATAGTCTGCTTTCTGTTAGAGTCTGTTGAATGATACAAGCATCATGGAAGACCTGTGCATTGTAACACTGGCACGTAGTTCCACAATCACTTACACCTGTGTAAGGGAGTCTAATCCATCATTTTTAAAAACTAAGTCTGAATTGTGCAAGTGGGGTCACCTTTCATCCTTTATCTGCAAATCGTCCATAATCTCACAAAGATCAAAGTCTGATTCCCAGCGTGACGATACCGACTTAGCGTACTTCTGGAGTGAACGTGCCCCATCCCTATATTGCACCTTCATCTTGTCAGCGCCATCGCTTGTCCGCTGCGGAAGACAGTGGACGATTTCATTGATGTCATCCTCCATAGGACTAGTGTAAACAGAAGGGAAGTGTGTTTGAATCTCAGACATGACCGATTCCTTCAGGACGTCATCACGACAGGCAAAGTTGAGGATAAATATACCTGGGATGACAAAATGAGATAACGATGAATGGGATATAATCACTAATGCTTGATCTGATATTTGCTCTGGCTTTATTTTGCCAAAGATATAGGCCCGAATTCACAAAGGAGATCGAAACGCGTCATATGATGCCGACAAACCTCCTTTGTGAATTTGGGTCCATACAGTTTGGGGTTAGGTTTAATTAATTATGTTCGGTTCAGGGTTAAAGTTAAACATTAAATTATGTAAACATGGAGTAACTGTCACTGCAACAAATGTTGTAGAACCCATCAATAATAGTCCCCCTACCTAGGTATCTTACTATTACATGAATATTGTAGCAATATGGTATGATTGTTTTTACTTATACAAAGCTCAAGCAAGTATAATGTCCCTCTAAGGCAAGATGCACCTGTACCATGCTTGAAATTATTTGCTTTGAGTGGTCACTGTATTATATCACTAACATACTTCATTTATTTCTTAAATGATAAAACTTATAAACTTTGACCTTTTTATAGAAGGTCGAATATGAAAATATGAAACTGTACCATGTTTTAAAATAATTGATTTGAATGTACACCAAACAGTTGTATAGGGACCAATCCCATCCTTAACTGAATTGGCCTTGTAAACCTTTACATGAAATGACATGACCTTTACCTTGTGTAGGATGCAGTATTCTCTTGACCCTCTCCAAGACGACTGGTTCCACAAAGGCCTTAGGAGGACAGCTAAGACCCTTGGTGCTATCCTTGCTGTCGACATCAAACAGGACTACATTGTACAGGCTGGGCGGATCTGAGTATTAGAATGGAGAATAATACAAACAATAAGTTATACTTGTAATCATGATAATAACAATACAGTCAAACCTGTCTATAGCGACCGCACAAGGGAAACACAAAAAGTGGCCTTTGTAGACAGGTGGTCTTTGGAGACAGGTTCCTTTAGTACATGTAGTTAATGTTTCAATAAGAAACCATTTTCAAGGGCAACAACAAATGTGGCGATTGTAGACAGTTGGTCACTAAAGAAGGTTTGACTGTAGTATGTTATATTAATAAGGGGTACAGCTGTATCTGATACGCACTTCACAATGTTGTGATTACCCCTTGCCATTGGATTTCACAACTAAACTTAAGACTTTTCACCATCTCTCAATCATCACGCCCTGGAGGTCAAATTGACCACCCCCCCCCCCCCCCCCAGTTACATTGTAAGATAGGGTTAATGCTGATGCATGCCAAGAACTCGAATCCAAGAATATTTTTATCCACAGCCAGCACCTTTTCCACAAGACCACCATGTTTCTACATATGTATTGCTAATGGATCCTACCTATGGAGCTAGGCTCTGCATACATACCCTTCTGAGCAGCAGACTTGATGAAGTCTAGACCATCTTGTATGTGGATTCTGAGTCTCTCGTCTTCAACCAGGCCAAACCAGGACTTGGCTACGTCTTTCAGCATGGGGTCCAGCTCCACCACATCTAACTCCAGCTAAACAAAACACATGTTAATCACAGCTTTATAAATCATCAAGATAATTATATCTTATGCTACGGTCACAAAAGTTCGTATGAACGATAATTTTGTACAAATCTCCCTATTTTCCATTGTCTTCCCAAATTTTCATTGTCTGAAAATCATTTACACGGCGTTCGTAGCAGTTTGTAATGGCATTTGTGACCTAGGCTTTAGACAAATGCTCTTAGACAAATCCTACCTATTAAGGCTCCTTCAGATATGGCGCCGCAAAACTGCTGCGTTTTTTAATGACGCAAGGTGCAATATACTTCACATTTCTGTATCTTATAACACAGAGCTCAATAAGTATTCACAGGATCTTCGTTTTGCGCAGTTTCCATTCATTTACACGTAAAGAAAAAAATAGCCACTTTTTTGCAGGGGTTTATTGCATCATATCTGAAGGAACCTTACCTCTGGAAAAAAAACTTTAAATCATCCTAACCCTACACCTAAAACCTAAACCCAGTCCTGTAGGGTGGCGTGGTTGAGTAGATACGTCACCGGACTGTCGATCACAAGGTCTGCGGTTCAAGTCCCGCCGCGGCACTAATGTCCTTTGACAAGACATTGATCTACATTTACCACACTCAAGCCAGGTGGTGTAAATGGGTACCTGGCAGGAATTAATTTCTTGAAAGTTGAAATGCTAGAGCGCCGAAATGGAAGCTGTGCCAAAGCCAGGGTAATAATCTCCCTCTGCGCTTCAGAATAGTTTACTAGATCGATGGCGCATATTAAATGCTGTAGTAATATTAATCCGAACAGTATATCTTTGAAGAAATAAAGCCCAGAGTAAACATTGCTGGAATACATGTAGGATCACTATCATCAAACAATAGAAGGCAATGAAAGATTTCTTAAATGATGTACTACCACAAGTACTGTATTACAAAACAGAGACCGTCAGTTAACAACTAAATTATTCATACCTTTACCAAGGTTTGTTATTCTTAAAGAATGTGGAAAATTGATTTGTCCCACTTTATGTTTCTTGAGAATGTGACATATTAAAGCTTCATTACATTAAAGCTCTAAAGGTATGCAACAAAGGCCCTCATTCGACCAGTCCACCTTTCATTCTTGAGTTACAAAAAAAACAAAAACATGAAATTTACAACGGGTATGCATAATTAAGTTTTACAGTGTATATTTGCAAACTGCTTGTAAAAGAATATGGGAAGCTAACACCTCAAACCGTAGGAGGAGCCCTTTAACCCTGTTCTTCAGAAGGTCTCGACATTTCAGGACAAGGATCTAGTCCAGGCATAAGAAAGCCTTTCTCTATGATTCTTAAAACGAATCTATAAATTACTTGATCTTATAACAGAGACCTACCTTTGGGAATTGTTTGTAGAGGAACATTGGAAGACCACCACCCCCTAGTCCAATGAGGAGCCCTCTGGCCCTGGTCCTGAGCAGGTCCAGGCACCCTGGGATCAGAGCTAGTCCAGCTGTCATGATGCGATGGAAAGTCATGGAAAGGTAGAGGTGGTCGACCCTGGTCACGGCTTTTCCTCTCTTCTTCCCACTCTTTGATCTAGGCTTTTCTGAATGGGGAATAGAAAGAATTACAAAGACCTTTACCGAAATGAAAATAAATGATTCAGATTTAATCAAACTGTAATCAACAGTGATCTTTGCACAGACAGGTTAAGTCATCTTCCAAAAACAACTGTCTCCCTAAGGCTATGTGCTTCAATTTGGTACTAACTGCTTCATTTTGCCATATCCCATTCTCCCACAATTTTTTTTTCTTTTAATGCATAATAAGCTTTCTTTTCTAGCATTTAAATATTCAATAAAATAATTTCACCTAAGGTACTTGTCAGCTTGTAAGAAGAAAGGAAATTTGTAAGAAAAATATGATTTTTATTGACAATTTGGTCAGGAAAGTTGATAAATTACACCCATTGGAAAATGATTTCCTTAGTTAGATGTAGATTCTTACCAGTGACAAGCTTGGCCTGTGATTGGACGATGTTTGGGTTGGATGAGAAGATGATCTGACGATACATCCCTCCATCTTCTCCTCTCACATCCTCCACGATGACCATGTTGCCATGGGAACCCTCTGCTTCGTATCTGACCTCCCTGTCACCCACATCCTCACCGATAGAGAGGAATGGAACCTATTCATGGTGAAGATTCACAAAAAATCCAAAAGTAATTTTCCATGTCTTATAATAACTCATGAGGTAATTTTTATACAATTTTGTACAATGTATGTAAACCAAAAAATATAAGTGAAGAGAGAGACAGAGGGGGGGGGGGGGGGGGCAAAGTCATAGATGTGAAATGGAACGTATTGAAGTTGGAGATTAAAGAAGAATAAAGAAATTTTCCATGCCTCAAATTTATCATAAGGTACGGGGGGGGGGGGCAAAGTCATAGATGTGAAATGGAACGTATTGAAGTTGGAGATTAAAGAAGAATAAAGAAATTTTCCATGCCTCAAATTTATCATAAGGTACTTTCAGAAGAGAAAGGGGGGGGGGGGGGAGCATGGCAGCAATGATAAAGATGCCGGGCACCATGTAATGAACAGAAGCAAAACAAAAAGGGCATAGACCAAAGTCCTCACTGACATTTTTCAACTTCTCTAAACTAGTCATCAGGTGATGTTAAAGTGGATGGGAAAATAATGGTGACAGACTTCATGTTTAGAAGATAAATAGTGATAAATGGTGAGAGAGTGGGAGGGGGGGGGGGGGGTCTAAGGTAAGGTAAAAGTGGGACATTGGTGACCCCTCCCCCCCCCCCCCCCCCCTCCACTTCCTCACCATGTGCTACAGCTAATGACAAAAACTGACTTACAGTCCAGAAAGGCTGCCATTTTTGTTCCCTTGATTGTTCTTTCTATCGTCTCTTTATTAAAGTATATAAAATAATGCTCTTTTAGCTCCGAACATATTATATGGAGTTTTGAGAGCATTACCAACCTTACCTGGGTGTTAGAGGGCAGCTCCGAAGGTTTAAGCTCCATCACTTTGGACGAGAGCTCTGTCTTGATGCTATCTATCGATTGATACAGATGGCCTCGATGGAGCGTCACCACGACCAGACGCTGAAAGCCTGCTTGATCGGCTAACTGCCCTCTTCCTCTGTCTGTACCGAAGAGGTACTCTGTCTCTCTGAAGCAGAAACAAGAGATATTGGCTAAGTGAAGTTAGGATTTCTTATTTGGAATTGAAGCTAAATAAAATAAATTGTAAAGACAGATAGGAGTGAGTTTGTACAGGGGAATCCCATCATCTGCCTATTCAGCCTTATATTAAGTGTAACAAATCTTTGGGAATCAAGTTTGAATTTAAATCTGACAGCTTTTACCCTAAGCACATACTATAATACAACTTCTGAACAGCCACTGCTGCAATCACATTTCTCAAAATAAATTCTTTTCCCAAACAAAAAATGTTCTCTTGTATCTCGTCGGTAATTGTAAGAAATTCAAAACTGGATATAGTCTCGTGAATGGTGGCGTGAATGCTGCTTCCAAGATTACTACCTGCATTAAACAGGTATTCCTGAATCCAGTGTTCGCAAACTACTATGCACCATATTAGGGAAATTCCCTGAATGCCATTTCCATTTAACCTACAACAAAAGAACTCTCATGTGTCTTGTAAATTGTTAAAATCTGTAAAAAGGAAGCAGTAACAAAGTAGTCCTTCATTCACACTTCCTATGATAATAATTAATACTGGATAGAAATATATGTTTTACTATTCTACAAAATTGCTCTGTTGAAGTTTCATATACGGTATGAACTTATGCAGAACGGTAGATCAATGCATCAAACACAGCTGTGCTGACTTTAAGCATATAGACATATCAAACATACAAGACAAATAAATTTATCAATCTACCTCTGAAAAAAAACTGGAAAACCTCCTCTCATTTAGTAGTCTATGACTGCAGATTGCTTAAGATTATCTGATTCCAAATATCCAGTTAGTCTCTTACTCAGTGATCAAGGAGCGAATCAATGAAGGTATGAATATAAAGCATTACGTCAGTCACCAGGATAGAATGCTCCACTTGCATTTTTTAATATATTGAACTTTGAACTTTTAGTCAACAAAATATAAAGGGAGTTGTGTGATGTTCTTATCATAGCATGCATCATTTGTTTGCCATTGACTGCCATTCCAACAAATAACATATACAGGTATTTTTTCATTACTTGGAATAAGGCATTATTTATTTTACTTGGCAAATAGACTTGGACTTTGTTTTACTTCACCTCATACATGAATGCGGTGTCATTAAGCTTACAGTTGCACAAGAAGAGCTAAATTACAGTGGGCAACAGCAATATTGCACTTGAAAGGCCACCAAAAAAAATAATGGGGGAAAAGTACATGGCCTCTAAAGAATTTTAATTATTTCTATAAAAAATTCCCCACATTGCTCTCAAAACAATACACATACTTAACATGGCAAAATCAAAGTGATGTAGAAATGGGGAAGTTCAATTTAGTTATGAAGAATGAGGAAAATTATGAAATAAGCATAACAGTATCTGAATGATTTGAATTGAAATCATTGCTTTCATCACTTTTAATTCAATTATTAATGATAATATAAGAGCCCATAATAACCAAGAACATAAAACATAATGAGGAAAGAATTGGTGACAGTATGGATGGAAGGAAAACAAATATATAAACACATAATAAAAAACTCCTTCATTGTTTATGGTGGAAGAAGCATTATTACATGCAAGTGGGTTACTCTAACTGGCTTTGCTCCATCCATAACTCACAACATCTCAGGTTTGAATATATCTGGGCCCCGTCTTACAAAGAGTTGATATCAATCGTAACTTAATTGTGATTGATATCAATCGTAACTATGTACATAAGAGATAGGAGACTGCAAACTTGCGATTGATTGGAGGACTTACAATTGATTTGGATCGATCGTAACTCTTTGTAAGACGGGGCCCTAGTCATTGACTTGGTACTCAATGGCTCAAAGGTCAGTTCAGACAAAAAATGTAGTACAAATTACAGATTTTATATCAATTTATGTTCATACATGTAGCTGTCCCGGCCACCCCCCCCCCCCCACCCGGGGACTTTCACACCGGAGATAGGGGAGGGGGGGGGGGTGTGCTTTAAAAAGAGGGAACGTGCATACAAGTACCCTAAATAACACTGCATGGGGGAGGGGGCGGGATAGCTGCACAGTACTTGGTTACGTATGGGACAGTTAATGACGAAATATCTTGGACTTGCCCATCATGGCAAATATAAGAAATCTGGAGGTCAGAATATGTTCCAGACTAGATTACATACCTTCCTTGTGGTACAATGAAGATGGCAAACTTGTTAGCTGGTACTCTCCCCTTAGGTTTATCCACAATGTAGAGAGTGAAGCGAGGGTTCTCATTGCTGGGTGCGTAGAGGTCTAAAGACAGAGATTCATCGCAGAACGACCTAAATGAAAATAATCAGAATATGTTAGAATTTAAAATGTACCGCTTAAACTCCAAGGTTTTTCAAGTGAAATAAGAAGTTTAAAAAGCCTTAATATTTCTCTTGAAAGTTCAGGTATTAAGTAATAAAGAATAACAAAAACATAATTTCGCATAAGGGGCTAAAGGTGTGTGATGGGCATTTAATCACTCCTCTTCTGGACAGAGCATAGCGTTCTCTAGTACTAAAGAGATGTGTTAACTATGAATATGGCTGACTTACATGTACACAAATTATCTTCTATGTAACAATTCACATACAAACAAGTATGTGAGGCACAATGGCTCAGTTGTAGAGCAGGTTCATAATAAATTTGATGCACTAGTGTACTTTGGTATGGCATTATTCCTCATTACCAAGTCCCTCAGAGAGGACTAAAAGCTATCGGTCCCCTGGTTGCTTACCGGTACTTACAAGCATACACATGCTTTCTTATCAATCGGTAAAACAAAACACAACAACCAACCTTCAAGTCCACAAATCCAAATTAAGAATTCATACAAACTGACAGAAAGCTTGGTTCAGAGATATTAATTTAGTAGCTCTGTTCTTCCTAGAGGTCCAATAAAACAATAACATTAGGACTCATCTTTTACCTATTCAGTTAAACCTGCCCTGATATATAAGATTATGTTTCCCAAGAGATCTCTCAGAACTCAGATTAATTTCCTTTGTTGAGCCCGATTTTGGTCTGGTGTAAGTAGTAGAATACTGGCCGATGTGTTTGTCCTGAGATTAAAAGTACATTCACCTCTTGTGTAAGCTGTGTTGTAACATAGCATAGTCTTGTTGGCTTTTGATGGCTTTCATGACATCCTCTATAGATGATACTCTCTCTGGGCTCCTCCCTTCTGATAAGCTCAGCTCCAAGATCTAAAGTGCAAAGAATTCAAAGACATGAGTACTATAAACCAGAAAATGATCATGTATGAAACCTTTGCAAAGTTCGCAAGTGGACAAGACTCATAGAAGTTTCATGATGCAAACAAAGCAACACTCAATTTTTGCAATTCATGTAAGTTTTTGCAATGAACATTGTCGTTGTAAACAACTGATGTGAAAATTCCTGTCTTCACAGTATCTTGTGCAAAGACACACAGGTATAGTCTTTTAAAGTTTACTTTACATTTATGACTTTTATATTTTCTATGATTGATCACTAAGAACTCTAATAACTCTTTGACACCTTTGTTCTTGATTAGTCAAATGATTACTGAATACACATACTCACTGGACTCTGTGTTGCTGCCATCTTTTTGAACTTGGTGGACACCACTATGAAGATGGGCATAGGTGAGCTCGATTCAGACCCTTCATCTTGGTTTGGTGTGTCTATCTTGTGTATTCTCACCATCCATCCTCTGGTAAAATAAAAGGAAAATAAAAACATCGGGAAACTAAAGGTAATACTTGTACAGTGAAACCTTTCTATAAAGACCACCCAAGGGAGACAAGAAAATGGTCTTTGTAGACAGGTGGTCACTAAAGCAGGTTTGACTGTACGAGTATCTTTACTACCATTTTAAAGAAAATCTTATTACAGAGGTTCTTTCAACTTACGTACCGAGCTTTCATTCCATCTACATTTTCTTAAATGAACATAAATAAATAAATGGGCCACAGCTTAATACAACGGCATGTATGTGAATGAGCTCTTAGCGCACTTACTCAGATGAGAAGTGGCCTAGTAGTTTTCTGATGAGATGCTCCTGAGCCAGCGTGATGCAGACATAGCGCCCTCCGACTTTGAGAACTCGGCCAATCTCTCCAAACGTCTTCTCAACAGAGGCAACAGTTTCTTGACCCTGGTCAGTCATACGAGCATCGAGGTTACCTCTGTCGAGCACCACAGTGAATGAAGAATCCTCGTAAGTCATCTGCAAAGAATTGGGAAAAAAGGAGAATACATTAGAGTGAAGGAGATGTTTGTTTACAGGGTGAAAAGAGAAGAAAAGAAAAGGAAAGGAAAGGAAAGGAAAGGAAAGGAAAAGAAAGGAAGAAAGGAAGAAAGGAAAGGAAAGGAAGAAAGGAAAGGAAAAGAAAGGAAGAAAGGTAAAAAAGGAAGACAAAGAGAGAGAGAGAGAGAGAGAGAAGGGGAGAGCCCATGCATTTACCTGGGTTACATCCATTCGCTCAAACTTCATCTTCGGTCTCTGCTTGGCATTCTTCATGGTCTTCTGCTTGACAACACTGTCGACATCATCGATGTTGACAAGCTGGTGGTACCCGACATCATACAGGTCCTCGCTGAGCCGAGAGTTACCACATCCAACTACGAGGGTCTTGTCGCTTGTGCGGATATACTTGTGCAGAATGCCGCAAAGATTAGGGTATTCCCCATACCTGCAAAACAAGATGAGTTAAAGGCCTTATTACACTGTAGCCATATTTAGGAGCAAGAGGGGAGGGGAGGGGAGGGGAGGGGAGGGGGAGGGGAGGGGAGGGGAGGGGAGGGGAGGGAGGGGGAGGGGGGGAGGGAGGGGGGGGGGGGCTGATGGAGGTTACTTTCAAGACCTAAATCGCTGCTACACGTAAGCCTCATCCTCATTTTTTCTAAATATATGTGTCTGGACACACAACCCCCCCCCCCCCCCCCCCCCCGTCTTAAAAAGTGTTGCAATTAATCGCAACTACACCTGTATGGACATGAGAGATCTAGGAGTCACTGTAGACTTGCGATTGATTGGAGGACTTGCAAGTGATTCAGATTAATCGCACTTCTTTGCAAGAGGCTAGACGTGCGGGCGCAGGTCTCTGTAAATTGGCCTGTAAAAATACAAAAACAGCTTTATTGGACTGCATGCAGCATAGATCACTATAGTTTTGAGTCTCACATTACATTTACCTTGATTTACCTTGATGTTGGGCTTCAAGTATAATTACTTATATGCCCCTCAGCAGCAGGATTAATATCTGTATGTACTGGGGATTGCGCCTACGTCGGAGCTCCGGACAATGCAATAGCAAGGAAACATTTCTTTAGGGTTGTACATGTCATATTTAGCTCTCCATGCTTTTTCCAGGTTGGATTTGAATGAGTTTACAGATGGGCTATCAATTACATAAGCTGGAAGCGCATTCCATAAATTGATGACTCGCTGTGAAAACGATCCCATTCGGATAGAAGTGAAGGCTCTAACTTTTGATAGTTTGAAGCTGTGGCCACGTGTTCTGTCATTCAAAGGTCTCAGAAAGAATTGGTTGGGGTCACTGCGGTCAATCCCATGGATCCCATGGAATGCATTCAAAAATTGAAATGGACTTTTATTCTTTGAAGAACAAATCATCAATTGATTGACACGACCGAAATCAAGCTTTGGTCTCTGATTTTGTGATATCATTATCATCATCAACAGTTGATCCAAAGAGACTATTATAGTATACGTCTGGCTCCACTGACTGCCTCTATACATACGGGGAAGGTTTACAAATGTCAGTTTTATTCAAGAAATTCTGTCTATTGATTGACCGTGCATCAGACAAGATTGAAAACATGATTCAATTTGGAATAAAAAAAGAACTTAACTTACCACTCGAATGCCTGGTTTCTATGTTTCTTGAGCAAAGATTCCCAGTACTGAGCAGAATCAATGTCTGATGATGTCTTTGGGAGCAGATCCATTATGCAATCAGACAAATCCAATGTTGCTTTACTTGCTTTTATTCATGTGGATTCTGCTTGATCATCATATCATGCGGCCACATATAACTAGCTGTCTGTACACGTACACACAGCAAAACTAGCGACCGGGTGGCCGCGACCACGCCGGGCCGGGCCGGGAGGCCGAGGGTACCGTACCGGTAGCTAGTGCCAGCGCTAGCGCTATGTGCTTCATGCGCAATTTGTGTGGGTGATTTCCGCTGCAGCCATCGACAAGGGGACAAGGGAATGAATGGATGAGAGTTATTGCTGTCTATATTTCGTGAATATTTGATCTTTTGTAAGTGAATCGTATTTAAATTTCATTGCTAAGTCTAGCGTATTTCTTATTTCAAAATGTGTGTGTGTTTGCTGGGGATGAGTTGAATGATGAGGAAAGAAAATGTGTCATATTGATCTTTGTATGATAAGCCTTTCGTGAGAAATGTCTCAGTACAGTCCCATATTATAGAGAATGATGTCTTGTTTTGATGAACAATGCCAGCTGTATCAAATAGACCGGTTATCTGTCATTTTTGCCCTCCTTCTCATTGTCGAATGATAATCTCTTTTATTGGGTGATTAGAAGGAGAAATATTAAACAAATCTCAAGATGGATAATAACTAACCCAGTTCGTCCTTACAAATCAGTAGATCAGAGATCTGTTAGGCAATTTGGGGGTATTTTCTGTGACAAAAAAAAACACATTTATTTTCACTTCATACTTTGCAAAATATAAATATAAAATATGAAATATGTTGCATTTCACTGGGAAAGACATGTTTTTAAAAATTCTAAGATCATGCCTAAGGTCATATCAGTTTAAACAATATAATACAAACAGTATTTGCTTTCTGACAATAACTTTCTTTCCCCTAGCCTAGATCTAGGCCTATTTAAATGACTTCAAATTTTCAGGACAGCTGATGATGATGATGATGATGATGATTCACAGCATTTGTATGGCTTCATAAATCTGTTTGAAAAAACATTCAAAGACGCGAGCTCCTCCAATAAAATTAGCATTTACATGTCTGAAGGAAGATGTGAGTTTTGAGTGAAGCTTTGAAGTGGTCCAGGTTGTCAATTTCGTGAATACCGGTAGATGATGGGAGGGAGTTCCACAGGCGAGGACTAATAATAGAGGAAAATGCCCGGTCTCCATATCCCTTGAAATGGAGAGTAAGGCCAGATGAGCGAAAGTCCAGGGTGAAGATGATGCTGCTTGATTAAAGATGAAACATATCCACAGCTTCTTTACGAATTTCTCAATTGAATAACGAAAACCCAAAATAATGTAAATAAAGCATATTCTTGGCTCATTTATCTCTAGGGCTTCATAATTTGAAATATTGATCATTAATATTTACTAATGACAGTTAATTATAAGACAAGAAGAACATACTCCAAAAAAGAACAGATTGCTTTTAATTTTTCCTATCAGTATAAATAGTATACATGTAAATATACTTCACCATTGTGCAAAGTTTCAGCTAAATCAAAGCATTTTCATTCAGAATAGTAAGTTTATAACTTTATGCATGTATTTTTGTAGAATCAGAGAAATTGGCTTTTGAATTTTGGAGTGTGAATATACACTTACACATACAACATTTTTTCACATTACATTTTATAATGATGCTCTTTATTATATGGGCAAATGATACAGTGATAACTTACATATATTCTCACATTGTTTGCATATTGAAATGTTTGTGTGGATTGCTTTACATGTATTAATCAATAGAAAATTATGATTGACAAGAACATACCTTTATCATCTTAATTGCAGCGCATATCATTTCCGATTCAGTGAACATTTAATCTTCCCTTCAAGTAAGTAGGTTTCTCCTTCAATCGATAGATTTGTTCTTGCATTGCAGATTCCTGATACCAGTGGAAAAAAATACACGGGGGCTCGGGGCGAATTAGCCCCCGGAATGCTAAAAAGAGCCTCCAAAAATTTGCGTAGAGTTCAATGCAAAACAAATTAAAGAGTGTTATTTTCATGCAAGCAAGCTTGAAAAGTATCCCCAAAATTTTATAAGTATTTTTTCCCTGCCTGATACTAGTACCTCTTTTGTTGTCTCTCTCTTTGTACCTGTGATTGCAAATTTAATTTTAAATTAGACGTGCAATCAACTTATTATTGTGTGTAAGATATTTGGCCTTGCAATTGATGCAATGAAGTACTTATTGTTTGTTGAGGGCTATATAAGGTAATGCTTCAAAACACTTATTTGCTGATTGAAGTTCAGATGAGCATTAAATTAGCTTCCGACCCCCCCCCCCCCCACCCAAACTCACACAAACACATTTGTATGTGGTAGGTCCAAACTTTATATACCATCAATTTTATTGAAGATTTTTTTAATACGATGTCGACAATCTAGCAAGACCAATGAAAAAATAAAACGAACGTCATGATACATGTAATTCCCCCTTTTTCTGAAGAGAGGGGAGGGGGAATTGGATTGGATTGGATTGGATTGGATTGTAAAATAATGACAAAATTTTCACATTTTTGCAATAAACTCCTCCTCTATGACTTACATGTAAATATGATAAAGCCATTCTATGCCAACAAAACAGCACATAATGTTCCCTAAAAACTAATAGTCCAGTATTATTTTTGTAGATGTTGACACTGGACTTTGTGCTTTGAACATTATAAACCAACAGGATGTTTGCACCCCTACTGCTGTACATTATGTAGTTATCACTTTTTTGGGATATTTTTTTCCTTTTCTGTTTTGTCGATTTTACAGAACCACAGCATCCTCCATTGTCAGAAATTCTAGTTTGAGAGGAACCTGTTTTGAAATCATCATGGCAAGTACAAGCAAGTGAGTGGACCTTCTTCAATAAATATTTTCCAACATATTTACAATGTAGAATTCAGATATTTCACTTGACTAAGTTTATGTATCTTTTCATATTCCTATCGGGATCGATACTACATGTTGAACATGCCCATATGCAAAGTTGTTCTTTGGGATCAGATGTAGGCTTTTTGAAGACTACTTCCATTCCAGCATAGACCCATGTTTTCGGGCCATTATTTTTATAGACCTGGATTTTAGGTCCATTATCATGAAAATCTGTCTAAAGACAAAAGCATGTCGGATGTCAATGGTAAAATATGGGCGTTAAAGATAAAAGTTGAGTACCGGTACTGGTCATGCCATTACTTTGTGAAATAAACTGGCTGGATGCAATTGGGAATGGTTGGTTAATTGTGTTGTGTAGTATATATAAACTTGTTTGTAAGGTTTTAGAATTATTACAATGAAAATAAATTGACTCAGTCCTGCTGAAAATCACACGCACTGTACACATAAATGGATACATGGGACCATACACAAATGCAGCATGAACGTTTAGTCCAAACTTTACAGCTATTGCACATCAAATTTTGAAATACAAGGGAATTTGAAGGGAAATTCATTATAGGGGCATTTCTACTGTGATATTTCCCAAATTGACATACAAAGAATGAGAAAGCTTAAAATAGTTTTTCATTTTAATCAGAACTAAACCTTCTAGACCAGGGGTTTGTTTTGAACACAAAGATCCTAAGTTGAACTTGAAGTTGGGCTTAACAATTATGGAAAGATGTTAGGATCTTTGAAAATATTTTGTCAAAGTTATTTTAAAAGGCATAAAATGTTGATTCAAATCATTCATAATTTCTATTATCAAGGAGATTTCATGTTCTTGTTGTGGAATTCATGAAAAGTCTTAAATACTTGAATTTTTGCTTTTGAATATATTTTATTTTAGGGCTACAAATGGTTCTTCATAATGTATTAGTCCAACTTAGATTTAAGTTTGACTTAAGATCTTTGTGAAACACCCCCCAGAACCCAATTTAATGTTATTGTAATTATGACCTGTGTCTTGTTCTTACAGAGGATCGGCTTCAGCGTCAGCTCCAATGCACAAGGTATGCTGCCCATCACATCCACATGCAAACCTGATAGAAGATTCACATGCAGGGGATCTCATCTGCCCTGAGTGTGGTCTAGTAGTAGCTGACAGGTGAGTGTTTCTCTATCTGTCTGTCTGTTTGTCTGTCTGTCTGTTTGTCTGTCTGTATGTCTGTTTCCCTCTGTCCCCCCCTCTCCTCTATTAAAAAAATTGCAAGGGATCTACTATGCACAGAGTGTGAGTTAGTTCAAGCTGACAGGTATATGTACATTTGACTTTCTTTGTCTCTGTTCTGTCTCACTGTCTCTGTCTCACTATCAGTCTGTTTCTCTCTCTGTCTCTCACTGTCTCTCTTGTGTCTCTTTGTCTCTCTGTCTCTCGCTTTGTCTGTCCCCTTCTTTACAAACTTGATAGAAGACTCACGGGCAGGGATCTATAAATCTGCCCAGTGTTCGTTCAGGTACATGTAGTAGCTGCCAGCACTGTAAGTGCCCCTCTGTCTGTCTGTCTGCCTTTCTGTCTACCCCTTCTGTCCTGAAACATGACCAGGCTCCTACAAATGTACATTAAGCAACATATTTCAACAATTTATTAACAGTCAAAATCTCATTAGAAGTCCATATTCAACTTTCAAAAGTTAATTTATCAAAAGTTGATTTATGACAATTCCTCTAAAACTTTGTGGCATGATTAAGGTTAATAAACTTTATTTTAATCTTAATAATAATAAGCGGTTTAGAAGGAAAATAGTTGAAAGTAAAGGAAACAGCATTTGCATTACAAATTACATCAATTCAATTAACAGGAAAACTTGGCAAATCTTTGCATTGTTTACTACCCTTTTACTTGAATACCCACTCAATTTAATCCAAACCCTGTAGAGTAATAGACGTGGGATCTGAATGGAGAACTTTCAGCAACGACAAGGCCAACATCGACCCCTCCCGTGTGGGGGCAGCAGAGAACCCTCTCCTCGAGGGCAACGACCTTTCCACCATCATCGGTGGAGTTCTGGGAAATGCTAGCTTCAACGAGGATGGAAGCAAAAAGTATCGTTCCAAATCAAATGTAGGTACCTTTCTATGAAGATTCTAGGAAAGAGTTTTGTAATAATTCACCTTTACCCTTGCAGGCAAAATGATTTACGCAATTTAATTGGTTTTCAGATTGTTTTAATTTTCTCCTGATTTGTTTTTCTCCCCGATTGTTTTTTTTTTACCCGATTGTTTTTTTCTTCCCGATTTTATCCTGATTTTCCTGATTTCTCCCTTATTTTCTCTATTCTTCCCTAGTTTTCCATATTTTTTCCCCAATTTTCTTACTCAAAAGAGGGGGGGGGGATGCCATTTTTTTTCCCCGAGTCCTCTTTTTTTTTACTCAAGGGGGGCATGGTTGAGGGGGAAAAAAGGAAAGAAGCTCACTATCACCCCTGGCAATGGCACACACTTTGTCTTGCAAGTGTGGAACAAAAGTTAGTGCTAGAATTTCGAAATTCCGATATTTTCAAAAAGAAATTGCAGACAATTCATGAACTGTGTGCAACCTTGCTGCAAACATGTGAAAAAGCATTCCAGTGCACAAACAGTGCTCAGCAGTGACATAAGCATAGTGTGACAATGTGTAGCATCGCACACCTAGGATGTCACAAACTGAACTGGGGCTGTTTCACAAAGATTCTAAGTCGAACTTAACTCTAATTTGGACTTAATTATTATGGAGAGCCGTTTGTAGCCTAGTTATATTGAAATATATTCAATCCAAAAATTAAAGTATTTCAGACTTTTCATAAATCCACATCAAGAACATGAAATCTCCCATGATAATAGAAACTATGAATTATTTGAATCAACATTGTATGCCTTTTAAACTAGCTTTCACAAAATATTATCAAGGATGCTAATAGCTTTCCATAACTGTTAAGTCCAACTTAGAGATAAGTTCAACTTAGGATCTTTGTGAAATACCCCCCAGTGGGCACAACATTGCGCAACTCGGTCTGTTTGCTGGGTTGCATGTCACAAAATGACTTGACATGCAAAATGCGAGTCAGAGCAGGATCAAAATTCATGCAAGTGTCATGGTGGCTTTATTTTTACCTTTTCTTTATCTCTTGAAGGGGAACCATTTTAAAGTCAGGAACAGTCATTTTTTTAAACATTATGAATGTCCAAGCTGCTTATAAGTGAATTACCTATTGAATATAATTGAATTGTTTATATATGTAGTAGAAGTAGTAGAATGGTTTTTTATTAGACAACTTCAAAATGGTAGCCCGAAAGCTAAATTACATTGCAAGTTTTACATGTATTAAAAATCATTTCAACAAACTTAGATAATATGGACAAGTACACATAATACACAGTTGGTTAGATCATAACTAATTACATATTCCCTACTTACAAACAAATTGATGAAACAAATAAAATAGATTCGGCGTTACTTTTTTTCTGTAATCATTGTTAAGTGAAGAATATTCATATTTTAAATATAAATTGAGGCTGATTAATGGAGTTATAACAAGTAAGTACTGAAGATTTGTTTAACTTCGAACCGTAATGCACATTGAATGTCTATAAAGCTACACAATATATAAGGATTTATCATAGAAACATGATTAAACAATTACCGAAAGGGAGAGAAAAGGTTAGAGAGAGAACGATGTAGAGAGAGAGAGTTAAGTTAGAAAGAAAAACAGGAAGACATGCGGAAGATGGGAGAGGGAGAGGGAGATAAGGAGGGAGTGGAATGAGAAGAATGGAACAGTTGGAACTGTGAAGACATGGAGAAGCGGAATGATGATGAAGGTAAGACGACAAGGAAAAGGCGATTAGAAAGAAATTACAAAGTAAATTACAAAGTTTCCCTTACAGAGAAAAACAGTACAATTTACCAATCATGCATTACTAAGACAATAACATAATATATGCGTAAAAACTTTAAATATGTAAAGACATAGAATGTACATGGGAACGTGCGTAACTATAAAAAATATATTCACTAATTAATCAGTTTGACAGTTAAAAACACAAGTGTATCCATTCATTCATTACAATGTGGATTACATGCACTAATCTTTATGAGTTAATGGGTATAAAGTTGAGCAGTATTAAAAGCAACAAAAGGCATACGATTTGAATAAGAGGTGTGGAATCGGGCAGGAATCGGGGGAATTTATGCGTTGTTGAGTAACCTGGTGAGATATGGGACTGGGCTTTTCCTGTAACGTTCTGTTTTGGACTTAGGTTCTATACAGATACGTGATTTCCGTGTGTTTCTGGTGCTGGCGTTCAGTTTAAACCAGTCTGATTGGTCGGATTTTAGTGCTTTCAGGGCAAACTTGAGACATAGCTCTTCTCGGCGAGCATGGAGAGTTTGAAGCTTGGTCATTGATAGGGCATTTGAATAGGATATGTAATATCTACCTAGTATAATTCTTAATGCCCGTTTTTGAACATTTTCGATCTTGTTGGACTGGGCGATAGTCAATGCTCCGTTCCAGGCAGGGCAGGCATATTCGAGGAGTGGTCTTACAAATCCTATGTAAACTGTAACGAGGTCGTTGGTGGGGGGATAGAAGGCTTTCAGGGATCTTAACATGAAAATGCGGCGGTTAGCACGAGAAACCGTATCCGAAACCTGTACATTCCACTTCAAGGTGTCTTCAATGGTTACTCCAAGGATTTTCACACTGCTAACCTCGTTCAGGGGGACATTATCAATAAGTACTCCTAGTGGGGGTAGTTGGACTTTACTGAAGGACAATCGCATGATTGAACACTTCTTGGTGTTGAGTTTAACGTAATTGTTCTGGCACCAATCTTCAAGAGTGGATAGTGAACGGGAGATATCACGTGGCTGGTTGCGTGCATCGTGCGAGGCGGCAATGGACATGTCGTTGACGTACTTCCAGTGACTCGTTGATGAAGAATCACGCATTACATCATCAATAAGGGCCAAGAATACAACAGGACCTAGGCGTGTGCCTTGTGGGACGCCAGCATGAATCTTCTTCCAGGGCGAAAGTGAACCATGGTAACGAACACAGGTTTGGCGGTCGGTCAGAAAATCACAGATCCAAGGAAGAATCGAATGGCGGGCACCAAGATCAATAAGCTTCTTAATCGCGATAGTGTGGTTGACCCGATCGAATGCCTTGCTGAAGTCGGTGCATACTACGGTAGTGGCAGTTCTTGGTGCCTCAGCTGATTTAGCAAGGTAGTTGATTAGGTCGACGATGCAAATGGTAGTTGAGAGGCTCGGTCTGCTTCCATATTGGTGTTTGTCCAAATGAGGGTTAATGTCGCGTAACAGAAGCTTGGTTATAAACAACTCAGCAATTTTGGAAAAGTGGTCGGTGAGGGATATAGGCCTCAGTTTATCCAAAGTTGCAGATGTAGGACCTTTAGGGATGGGGACAATTATTGCCTGTTTCCACTGGGTTGGGACCTTGTTATGTTGATAGGATGCATTTAGTATCCCTGACAGGGGAATTGAGAGTTCGCAAGCAAATTCCCGAACGAGGCGTCCAGGAATGCCGTCAGGGCCGCTTGACTTGCCAGGCTTGATCTTCTTCAATTCACTCATGACTTCCCACGGTTGAACATGTGGGGGCGGTGTTTGGGCTGGCAGGTACGATGGTAGGTCTCTCAAATGTAGTTCGGGGATATCAGCGTTAACATTTGCAAAGAATTCATTAATGGCGGTAGCTATTTTCACTGGGTCATTGTCTTCAACAGTCGGAACTCGGATTATGTCTGCTTGCGAATTTGAATGACCAGACATGACTTTAATGTTCTTGTACCAAGATGAGGGGTTATCGCTCTTAAGATTTTGGATACGATCACGATAGAAAAAGCGTTTTGCTCTAGAGATTTCGCGAAGGACTTGATTGCGTAGAGATTTCCAAGCTCCTTGAGAGTTGTTGCTGAATGCTATTTGTCTTTGGTTAATAAGCTCTTTCGTACGGGGCGTTATCCAAGGCTTGTCAGTCGGATGGAGATTAATTGACTTTGTTGGGAAGTGCACATCCACCTTTGATTGCAGCGTTTGGTAGAAGTGATCGCACATGGCTTGCGGCTGAGACTCGCCAAGAACATCTCGCCAGTCGTTGTGAGTTATCCACTCACCAAAAGCTCTTATGTCCGAGTCTTTCATTGGTCGGACAATCCGTTTTTTAGCCTTATTGCGTGGTCTATTATTGACTTCTTTGGGTAGCCAGATTACAATGTTGTGGTCGGCAAGGCCAATGGGGGATAACAAAGATGGTTCTTGGTAAAAGAGATCGAGATTGCTTATGATTTGGTCCAAAATCGCGTTACCTCTTGTCGGGGTCCGGACAACTTGTTTCATGTGACATCCACTGAGGATTTGGGAAATGTCCATGCGATTCAAATCACCGAGGATTACAACACCGGCATAGGGATGCGCAGTTTTGATGATGTCAACACTCCGAATGAGGTACTGTATTAGATCGCACTCATTGGCGTTTCCTGGGGGTGAATAAACTGCACCGAAGTAGATACTGCTGACACGACGCGGTAATCGATGAGGTCGAAAATGGGCCCATACAACTTCGTGCTCATCTGGAACTGGAATAATAGTCACCTGTTTGGGGTCAATGCTATGTTTCGCGTAAATAGCGACACCACCACCCCTGCGAGAACACCGAGACTTGGTAAAGACTTGGTAACCATCAACGCTGTATGATGACTCCGGTTGGTCATGATTAAACCATGTCTCTGTTACTGAACATATATCGATATCGTGTTCCCGAACAATAACAGATAATTCCTCCAGTTTATTGTAATTAAACTCTATAAGCGCTATAGTTCTCCTTAGAACTATAAGCTAAGAAAGATAACCAACAGTCTTTTTCAAGACTATACCAACAGTATTTATATTATAATGAGGGAATGGCTCTAGCATGAGGACCATACTCCTCTTTAGCTCATCCCTTCACTCCCATTATGTTTGTTTTTTTTTTGTTGTTGTCGAATGTATGATATTTTATGTGTGATTATTCTGTATTTAATTGTATATGTTCTTGTAGTTTTAATGATGAGTGTAAATAAACGAACTTGAACTTGAACAGTCCTTTTTAGGACTACAAACCCTCAAGAAAGATTACCGAGAGTCCTTTTCAGGACTCCCCAATCCTCCCTCTCTCTCACATGGTGCACCCGCAAGCCTACTGTATATCTATATGAAATGTTGTTAAAATGATATAAAGTAATCAAATGCCTTGTATAAGTAAAAAAAAATTGAATTACCATATTGAATATTTGCAATGCATACAGGCATCTAGCTGTAACGACTGGTTGGTCGCTTGTATGCAAATGGAGAAGTTGGATAGATCATTGATTAGAGATTGATGTTTTTCCCATATCTTCTATGATGTAGATGAGCTCAACCAACAGAACGCTGATAAATGCTTTCCGTGAGATAGGAGCCATGGCTGATCGTATCAACCTACCCAAGACCATTGTGGTAAGTACCGTAAATCTCTGTGTATAAGACGCACCCCTATTTTGGGAGCAAAAAAAAAAAAAAAAAATGTTCTTGTTGTTGCTGTTTTGTTGCCGAAAACCCATGCGGGGAAGGACTTTCATTTAACATCGAGGTGCAGTTGAAGGTGCCAATTTGTGCTTGTGAACTTGTCACAAATAATAGTAACAATGTAGTTTTTAGAAGAATGTGTAAGATCATTAATTTAAATTTAAAAAAAGAGTACCTAGGATAGAACCTTGTGGTACGCCATGTGTAATAGAAGAAAAATTTGAGGAATTTTATAATTATAAACTACACATTGAGATCTATTAGAAAGATTACTTTCAAACCAAGATGACAGACAAATTTGAGTGTTGTTGTAGTTTCCGAGTGGTGAGTCAACACACAGATTACTGAGCTGGAAGACATTGCCAGGCATAGCGCCGGGTGGAGAGGCATAAATCAAAACTTTTTTTTGTACCTGTGTTTAAGACGCACCCCCGACTTTCAATTTTTTTCGGCGGCAAAAAAGTGTGCTTTATACACAGAGATTTACGGGTAGCTAGGAGCTGCTGTCGTCATAAATATGATCCAGATTTTCATTACTCATCTTGACTTTATAATAACAATAATAATAAATGTAACTTATGTAGTGCCAAATCCTCTGTGTTGAGTGCCCAAGGCGCATGTAGAAATAATTAAGAATTAAACAAATGCATTTTTACCTGATTTTTCAAAGAATCAGAGGTTATACACTTGTTGATGTCTTCAGGAAGGCTAGTCCATATAAGGTAGGACACACGTGAGCAAAGGATCTTGCTCCTCCCCCCCCCCCCCCAAAGTTTTTGCAACTTTAGGCAGAATATTATACAATAGCACCAAGCTGTGAGTATTCAAAATGTCAGTTGAAGGGGATTGCTCTTTAAATGCCCTATATTCAACATATATGATGTGGAAAAGCGAAAGTTACAACCAAACTTTCATGCCACATAGGTGTATGTAGCCCCATATACCGGCGTCTATGTGCAGTGTTTGTGTATTTTCGACAAGATTGAGTCCATTTCATATTATTTTGTTCATTCCAAAATGTACCAATAATGAACGTTTCCCAATTGCTTCTGGTCAGTTCCTTTCTCAGTGTCATCACAGCAGTGCTTGAGTTAATCTTTAAACACTTTTGAATGACCAGTATAATGAAGAAAGATGATCTACTCATGTTTTTCTTCAGGATCGAGCCCACACTCTCTTCAAGCAAGTCAATGACCAGCGCACACTGAGAGGGCGAAGTAACGATGCCATCGCAGCTGCTTGCCTTTACATTGCATGTAGACAAGAAGGGGTGCCTCGAACATTCAAAGGTAAACCTGAAAGACGAAGAGATATTACAAAACAAATATCCCTCATCAGGGGAGGACACAGGTTTTTTGTTTTAATGCGGGACTGCACTACTTTAGCTACTTGCACTCTCTATGTAGCAAAGAACTTGCACTCTCTATGTAGCAAACAATGCCGAAGCGGTACCCGTTGGTCCCCCATGATCCCCCTTTTCTTATCTTAATTGAGAGCTGATATGATGAGATAACCACCTGTCAGTGACCAAGAAGAGAGGTCTAATCCCTCCAGGCCAAAATAGTGCAGATAGGCTTTTAAAAAGGACAACAAAAAAACATTACTTTTTAATTTTTGTTCCGATTTATTTCAAGAGATTTTCTTCATTGTATTTCGCAAATTTGTCTGCTTTTATACAAATGAAAATCTAACAAAGGTCTGATTTCCCTTTATCTTCTTGCTTGCATTGGTTGACCAATGAAATGAAACAAACAGGGACTGGCACTGTGGCCTTTGTCACAAGTCCAGTGTATATACTCCAAGCAATGTGTGCTATTTAGCTTTTTTTTCCTTCATATTTAGCAGGGTTCCCAGGGAACAACTCGGAAAGTCATGGAAAATGAAAGAAAATCTCCCAAAGTCAAGGAAGTCATGTAATTGAATGTGGTGTGAGCCATGTGTGGCTATGGCAGCTTTCCGATATTAACGGGATTTGGTAACATTGTTCAGATGAGAGAAAATGGTGCTAAGGTAGTGACTTCAATGCTAGATGTACAATTAAAGATAATCTGAAAGTTTGAGTAAAAACAGACCATTAAAAATTGGGAAAAACTGATCTGATCGATTCCTCAATTCTCCCAACTATTTTATTACAATTTAATTTTTTTCATCAACCTTCAACAATCTTACCGAGTCCCTTTAACTGACAAAGGGCGTGGTCTTAGTATGCCACTTGGATGCCACAATCCATACCAAAATGGTACATATCTGGTCATGGAAAAAGCAAAAATGGGTCGTGGAAAGTCATGGAGTTTGGTTCTCAAATTTCTGTTGGAAGCCCGTCAAGGGTGTTTTCATGGCAATTAAAGAGTTCAAAGCCATTGTTTGGTTTACATACTAATATCTCCCGTGTAGTGGGTAATGTATAGAAATACATAAAATACAAAAACACAGTGGACTTGCCCTCTCTTTGTTCATGTGAATGTTACAAAATCTGTTGTTTGGCTGGTAACACAAACAACTAGTTTGATAAAAGCCCTGACTAACGTATCAAAAGCTTTGGCAATAAAACCCTGCTTGCGTATAACCCTTTTATAAAAAGTAGGTTAATAAAAAGTAGGTTACATGGCCCCTTGTAGGATGAACCCGCTCTAAATCAGAGTCTAGACCAGGCCTTCTCAACTGGCGGCGCGCGCGCCACTCGTGGCGCATGCGGTCAGTTGGAGTGGCGCGCGGCTGTTCCAAGAAATTAAAAAAAATATTAATAAAAATTTAAATTTAAAATTAAAGAAAGAAAAATCAAAAAACTATATTCTAAAATTAAAAAAATCAGCAAAATCAAAAGGTCGCAGTCGAAGTAGAGTCCAAAATATAACCAAGCCATTTTGTTTGTTTGATTTTCACTTGATTTTGACATTTTCCGTCTTTATTGCACCACATTAACTACATATAAATTTACTTCCATTTACCCAGGAATTGTACTAATTATTTCACTTCAATATGAAATTGTGATTGATAATTTATGGAATAGAAAGGTGTTAAAAATGCCACATCTTGGCCTTAAAAAAGCCCTAAAATCCACTAGCTTCCAGGGTTTCGCCCCCCTGTACCCCACCCGGTATCGGCTACGCTCCCTCGCATCACAGTCACCAAACATACAGGTTGGCACTTCTAATAAACTAGTTGAGAAGGCCTGGTCTAGACCATGGTTTATAATTGAACTCAATACCAAGGTGTGAAGATATGTGAAGGCCACCAACACTCTAATATTATATTCACGAATATTAATCAATATTCTCAAGGTTATGTTTGTGAAATGCACAATGTATATCATGCTTCCCAATTGATATGTAGGTTTGGTTTACATATCCTTTGCCTCATGATAAGTGGAAGGTCCATTGTACTTGTGTATCTACTTACAAGAAAATGTGCATTTATTTGATTTTAAAAAGTTATATCACGAAAATATATACATTTTGCAAATGGTTACATACATACATAATCGATAGCAGTTTATATTTTACACAGTTTAACACATTTTTTGACTGTCAATTGCATAGACTATAGAATTCCAGTTAACAATATTGTCAAAAAATATGAGGTACTGTGGACTAGGCGTTAGAATGTGGGTCTTTTAAAAATAATACTTATACCAAGTCCATAGCGTATTGAGAGAGATGGATGTGCCCTGCACACACGTATGGGATCAGAGGTCAATTCATAGAGCACAAAATAGTTTCCTCCTGTAGGTATGTATTTTTGTTGTCTTGATTAGTGTATAGTATAATGTTTAGTAATGGATATATTTCATATTTTTTATTATAAAAAAGGGTCAACCTTTATACAAGGATCATGTTTTTCTTTTCAGGTTGCAACCTATTCAGTTTATTTTATGTCCTTGTCAAACATAATCTTAATGTGTATTTTATGTTATATAGCTGATTTTTATATGAAATGTTGTCTTTTGAACTGAATGAAATAACATTGAATTGAATTGAATTGAAGTGAATTGAATTGAATTGAATTGAATTGAATTGAATTGAATTGAATTGAATTGAATTGAATTGAATTGAATTGAATTGAATTGAATTGAATATTGTATGTGGGAGGGAACTATTTGGAGCTCCGTGAACTGACCCGTGATAGCGTGTCACAACTATCTCTTTTACACAAATGAAAAATTCTATGGTAAAATGCTGCATTTTATTGCACCAAGTGGGAATGAACCTGTTTGCATTCTTATCTTTCTTCTTCATTATACCCAAACTCATTACGTTGTATATCCAATATTAAAATATTCATATCTAAACTCAAAACTCATCTTTTCAAATGATCACATCACTAGTATTAAGAGATAAGTAAAGTTGTAATTTTTCTCTTTGTAAGCACTTTTTCTATATATATATGTTTCTGTTTCATTTTCCTTTTATGATCTTGTTATACTTTATATAAGTACATTGTAAAGCTGATTGAAATGCCAACAGACATGAAATGCGCTATAAAAGAACAAAGTATTATTATCATATTATTATTATATGTGTGTGCACCTTTCAGAGATCTGTGCAGTCTCCCGAGTGAACAAGCGTGAGATTGGACGCTGCTTCAAGCTCATCCTCAAGGCATTGGAAACAAACGTAGTGCTTATTACCACCGGTGACTTCATGGTAAGCCAAAATTCAACCCCTGTTTAGATAAGATTCTTGATCCAACAAATGAAAAGCAATATACAGGAGCAGAGATCCATTTGCAGTTAATTACTAAGTTATTCATACCCTTACCAAGTTTTGTAATTTTGTACATATGTGAAAAATTGATTTGTCCCGATTCATGTTTCTTGAGTTACAAAAAACACGTACAAATTTACAATGGGTATAAATGGATTTAGTTGTTAACTGCAGGTCTTGAAAGCTCTAAAAAGCTCTGATGAAAATAAACAATAATATAAACATTTTAACCAAATGACATTTGCCTTTGGCTTTATTTCCTTAAGGTATTGGGTAACTTTGCCTCTAATTCTAATCAAAAATCCTGGATTTAGCTCATGCTGCAATCATATTTATAAACCTTTAGGTCAGAAATGAATCTCTTAGTCTAGGGACAAATTAAGAATTGTAGAGATATGTTTTCAGATGTTTTTATAAGAAGTCAAGTGAAGTAATATATCTCAGAAATTCCATGGAGTTAGTTCCATAATAGGCATAGGTGTTTTTAAGGATTTGGGAATGAGGCAGGAAGGAGCTGATGTAGATCTAAGTGAAAATAATGCTTTCTGTTGCTGAAAGAGTGAGCAGATGTAATTTCTTATGCTCTTTTTCTTTCTTCCTAGTCTCGATTCTGTTCCAATCTGAGCCTACCGCCCAAGGTCCAGAGAGCAGCGACACACATTGCACGCAAGGCTGATGAACTAGATCTAGTGGCAGGGTAAGAACCTTAGTATTTCCTTTTGTTTTTAATTATGTTGTTCAAGTTTAGCTTTCTGTTCATTCTCTGCTCAGTGCAATATGGAATCTCCATTATCTCTCATAGTTTGGTAAATATTGAAGGGTAAAAATAAATTTGTTTGTTTGTCCAAAAACGAATATTTGAAGCCCCAAATTTGCCAAAAATTTGATGGCAAAATTTCACTTAAAGGCCCACTACACTACTTGTAGCTACTTGTGCCCTCTATATAACAAACAATGCCTAATCGGCAGTGAAAAAAATACACGGGGGCTCAGGGCGAATTTGCCCCCGAAATGCCCAAAAGAGCCCCCGAAAATCAGAAAAGAGCCCCTGTAAATTTGCATAATGTTCAATCCAAAACAATTTTAGAGTGTTATTTTTATGCAGGCAAGCTTGAAAAGTAGCCCCCGAAAAATAAATATTAATTTTTTTCCTGCTAATCGGTGACCATTGGTCCCCCATGATCCTCTTTTTCTTATGTTAACTGAGAGCTGAGTTGATGAGATAACCACCTGTCCAGTGACCTTGCAGGGCGCTCTAATCCCTCCTGTTAACTACGGCAGATAAGCTTTAAATAAATGGTATCATAATGTGAAAGAGGAGGTAATTTAAGACACACTTTTGCATGACATCCTCTTTCACATTACGATACAATTTAAGTGAAATTTTGCCATCAAACTTTGGGGGCTCCCGGAAAAGCACAGAATGTGCCAATCATTTTCAAGACCTTTCACAGAGGTACATGTTATTTACTGGGTTACTCCAGTAGTGTTGGCAGTGCATTGACTGTGAGGTCACATTGAAACCATTTATTCTCTGTGATTTGACTGTGTAGCTCCATGTACAACCCTTAGGCTCCCAGGTTCAACATAGACAAGATTTTTGTCTCAACACAAAACACTGTGTCAGCCCGAAGATCGCTCATTTTCTTGATTTGTGTACAAAACATATGGAAATATCATTTTTCCAAAAAAAGAGATAAAGCATTGGTTATTTGGTTTTGTTTATAGTTTAGGTGTTTGTTTTGGGGGTCAAAATATTTGAATTAGTTAGAAATTAAATAAAACAACAAAAACATAAAATACATAAAATACATAAATTAGATAAATTAGAAAAAACAAAGAAATACATAAGAAATTATTGAAACAATAGATAACATAAGGAATAACCTGGCTCTTCCAGATTTTGTTGTTGTATTATTATTCAGAATGGATACATGTAGTGAAAATGAATGTTCCATTATGAAAAATATATGATTGATGGGTAAAATAGTCAATTTTATGATCGCATAACTTACGTAAATATGTAAATAAGTGAATTTTTCCCAAAAATTGAAATTACCATAGTATTCTAACCACTTGACTTGACATGCGTGCACATTTTCGCGGCAATCGGCCGTTTCACGGCAAAGATCTTAGGGGGGAAGGGCCAAATAAGCCACCCCCCCCCCCCCCCCCCCGGGCTATGCAGTTTCAAAATAGCCCAGGCTATATAGGGTTAAAAGGTGGTGTTTTTTAGCAATCAAATTTATTGAAATGTGCGTACCTCGGGTCAGATCACTATTCTCCCATTTAACATCATTTTCATCCATACTTAGCAATGTATCTAAAAGTGCTAATATCATGCCTCTCAATGTCAAAAGCAGGTGTAAAAGTAGAAAGAGAACATGCGAGCCACTATTTTGATTTATGCAGGATGAAAGAATCGGGCTAGAAAAAACAATAATGTTGGAATAATTGAACAGATTTCTAAAACATTCTTTTGCACAACATGCCAATCAAAGCATTTTGTTAAAGACAAAACTTATTTTTCTCTTCTTCTAAACATGCATGCTTCCTCACCGCAAGCTGATATTAACTTTGTAATCCTAAAAGTGAGAGGGGGGGGGGGAAGAGAGAGAGAGAGAGAGATATATGAAGGGGTATAATTAGTGGACAGAGGGATAGAGGTCGAGGAAGAAGAGAGAAGTAGAATGCTAAGAGAGAAGGATAAAAAGAGAGGCATGGATAGATGTATAGAAATAGAGGAAGAGAAGAAATGAAAGCAAACAAGAGAGTGAAAGAGAAAGAATAAGGGATAGGAGGTCAAAGTTGAGAACGAGCAAAAGAGGGGAAAAATAAGAAAGATAAGACTGAGAAAGAAAGAGATAATTTGACAGAGGAAGAGAAGAGAGACAGAATGAGAGATAATGACAGAGAAAGGCTATTTATTTGTTGGTGAGTTGATTTGTATGAGCGTATCAAGATCGAATCTATTACGGCCAGGTGACGCATACCTCAAGGACTTCCTACTTTCATAAATTTTAATCTCGACAAATAATAATAAAAAAATATTGTGTAAAAAAAAAAACGCAATTCATCCCTCTGTTCAATCTTCTAGATATGGCATATTATTATGATCTCTTAATCTCACAATACATTCCATCTGTTTTGTAATCATTTCAGAGAATATATAAAAGATATTTGCTGATTTATAAATCAAGGTAGCGTGTCATTGTGGCCAGGAAGATGATACATAACACCTCATTTGTTTTCCTTCCGGGGGCTCCTATTTACATATATACCAGTGATTCCCCAATGACTATTGAGTCCTTGAGATCATTTTTCCCTCCGCCTAGCAATAGAAGCAGGATTAATTGAATTGTTTGTCTGCGAGTGCTGTCTTCATATTGTCAATTGCTAATCAAGGTCAGTTAGGAAATTGGAAATAGTTCCTAAAATTGAATCCAGCGTGTCTTTGTAGTCATGTGCAGTCTTCTACAGAGAGCAGTTCATTAGTATGCATAAGAGAAAACATTTTTAATATCTTCTCTTTGCTTGTCTTTTTTTAAAAATTTTTGCTGTGCATGTATGATTTTTAAAAAATGAATATATATATATACATGTACATATATATATAGAACTGTAGATGTACAGTGTATATGGGTTCTAGAAAACTGTTAATTATTTTATCTCGAACACGAAGTCTGTTTCTTTTGTGTGTTAGTAATGAAGGCGAATAGAAAAAGGATCATCTGGCGATCAGTCAGGCATCACAACATTGATTAGGTTATTTGCTGATTAGCAAATAGCTGATTTTCTCTAATTAGCTAGTTTTTCAAGTGACAACATTCCCTTGAATGTTGTAAATTTTCATCAATGAATCATTTCCCAGTCATTGGTTCTGATTTTACGTATTGTCGGGCAGACATTTTCATACCTTTAGAAGCAAGATATTAAAGATAAAGACCAGTTATAGTCATGCGATTGCATTGTGAAAGAAACGTTGTGAAATCGATCAGAAAAGGTTGATCATCTAGCATAGATGTACTGCAAGGTTCTGGAATCATCAAAATGATAAGAAATTTGGCCCAGTCTTCAAAAAATTACAAGCACTGTACACAGAAAGATGTATATGGGACTATGCACACATGCGGGACACATGTGTTGTTATCTCTCACATCCCAATAGATAAACTAATTTACCAAATATATCAATTAGTAGGCGGTTTCCCGGCAAAATTGTTATCATCACGTATTATTCAAAACATATTTTTTTCACATGAAATACTGGTCTTTACCTTTAAAAATGTTTGAACATGCATGAAAAGGCTACTAATTAAGAACAGCACATACTTACACTATGGCCCGTATCTTATCAGCAGTTCTGATGATTTGTTTCACCTTTCAGCCTAGACTCATTATGTTTCAGAAATCAATGTTCCATCAATGGTTTTTCTTTTTCACCCTATTTTTGCCCCTACATGTATTTTTCAGACGAAGCCCAATATCGGTGACGGCTGCAGCAATTTACATGGCTTCACAGGCATCAGAAGAAAAACGTTCTCAGAAAGGTATTGTCTTCTAAAAAAAAATTGTATTTTTTTAGTATTTATATTGTAATTTTTGCTTTTACACAGTGATATAATATATTCATTTTGCACATAGCATATTGGTATTGTAGTCAAATTTTGAAAATAAAATACCAAAAATGTTTTTGTTTTTTTAAATAGTTAAGAGATCATAATGGTTGCAATAGGTGCAGTATTTCATTTATATTGGTTTTTAAAAAAAATATTTTATATTTGTTTAATCCAATTAGAAATTATTTTTTTCAAATTTCATATATGTTTTATACCTACCATTTTGTCTTGAATGTACTACATTAATAATCAAGGTTGGAAAAACTTGTATAAATGAAAGGACAGTCCAACCTGCTTAAGTGACCACCTTTCTACAAAGACCACATCTTTTTTCCCCCTCTAAAATGGTTTCTCATTGAAACATGTACTAGTTTAAAGGAACCTGTACATAAAGACCACCTGCCGATAGAGACCATTTTTTTTGCCTCCCTTGGGTGGTCTTTATAGACAGGTTTCACTGTCTGTTTAACAATGTCGGCAGACTGCAAGGTTCCTTGAAGGGGTAAAGCTCTAATCAGCTCAGAATCGTAATCATTTCTCTTGTGCGTTCATCCATGATTTGAAGCTGATTTGGCTTTATGCTGACTAAAAGGCATCAATTGACTAATAATTCAAAACTCCAATTCGGCCTAGAAAAAAAATATGTTGTATTGCCCTTTAGGTGCCAAAAAAAAAACATGGTTTGGTCGGTCGGTCAGAATTTTGTTTTTCTTCTCCCTCTTTGGGCTGATATTTCTCAGTTTTTAATGCTTTAAAAAAAAAAATCTCTAAAAAATGGTTTTGGGGTCGGTCGCAAAGGGCAATACAACATGTTTTTTGTTAGGCCTTAGGAAGATGATATTTGCTACAGTTTCAAAATCAAATGGTAGAGGTTTCTTGAAAATCAGGTCACAGAATGATTGTATAGTGTGAGATGGGCCTAAGTCAAGACCGGTTTAACTTATTTAGCCCACATACAAGCTTATAGTGTTTATACCTCACATGCCTTTCTCTCTTGTCTTTCAGAAATCGGAGAAATCGCAGGCGTGGCGGATGTGACGATTCGGCAATCATACAAGCTCATCTACCCCAAGTCTCATGACCTGTTCCCTCAAGACTTCCAGTTTGCAACCAAGATTGAGGATCTGCCGCCTCCTTGATAATCCAGGACATCTCCACGACTCGACTCCCTTCAATCATACTCTAAATCTTTATTACCCCAAAGACACAAATTCCACAATGATGTCACTAGATCAAGCAAGACTGAAATTCTATAATTTTGTTTTAAAAATTCACCAGGATGCTTTAATTCATTAGGTTTCTATGACACATTCAAAAAGGTATTTACAAGTACCAGTGATAGTTTTGATGTTTGTGGTTTAGAAATCTTTCTCAGACACTAATAAATGTCTGAGGAAAGTGTCAAAACCATAGACATCATAACTCACACCTGAACACCCTTGTGGATGTGTCATTAAACTAGACCTTAAAAAAAAGCTATTGTATTGCCCCTTGCGACCGACCCAAAAATCTTGAAATCTACGGTCGGCTTTTCAAAAAAGTTTTTTTTTCTACTGTTTTTAGAGAAATTTTTTTTTTACGCATTCTCAAAACTGAGAAATGTCAGCCCAAAGAGAGAGAAAAAAAAAATAGTGAAACAAAAAAGAATTCCGATCGACCGACCCATGTTTTGGCACCTAAACTGAGGGCAATACAACATCTTTTTTTTTTAAGGCCTTATAAGAGATTCTATGATGCCATTGCGCAATATTACTAAGATGTTGTTAAATTGGCATTATGTCATAGCACCATGAAATTGTTAAGTTGTAAAATAAAAACACAATTGTACCAGAGACAATCACTAGTTGCAACACCATGGTATTATGGCACAACAAGGGGCATTGCCAGCCCATCTTGAATAGGAAGGGGGGGGGGAGGGACCTGAAGGTTGCTGAAGATGATGACAAATACTTTTAAGAAATCAACTCATAGGACATTTTAGTATCCTATTACATTGCCTTGAGATTGTGTAATCATGTCATTGTAATATCCTTTCAATAGATGACACACAAGGCTATTGAAATTGCTGTATGGTATCGTTTTAAAGTCTTTGTCATCGTATGGCTGAAATATTTATTATAATTAGGCAAAACAGAGAAGCTCTCAGATGTTCAAATTTGCAGAAAGAGGCTCAAGCAAGGCTTGAACAGGAAAGAAAAAATCTTGCAAGGAGAAATTGTGAACGGGCTGTGGGTGTGACACCCACCTCTAGCAATAGCCCCATGACTGCAAAACACCTGTAAATAACAGCACCACAATGTGTGTGTACACTGGTTCACTGCAGCACCCTGATGTTATGGCAACATAGGTAACGCCATGATTTTGATACATTGCACCATAAATGTACCATCGCTCCATTACACCAAGATATCCATGCACCATCATACAGTAATGGCTTGACACCATACCCGGCCCCCCCCCCCCACTCGGTGTTATATAGGGTACGCGTATGCTCGTTCCCTCTTTTTGAAAGCACCCCCTATCTGAGGACTGCCAATATTTCCGAACCCCCCTTTTGCGGGCTTTTCGCGGGCTTTTCCTGCCTTAGAGACCCCCCTAAATACGGAAAAATGCTCAATGTACCCCCCTAAATTCGGAATAATTTCTCAGGAGTCCAAAGAGATGAGAGAAAAAAAGAAAAACATCCCCTTTTTAAAGAAATCTCCGGGTGAAAAGTCAAATACACCCCTTTTTTTGCAATTCTCGGGCCGGACTTTGTCGCACGAAAAGTACCCCTTTACCGGACATTTTGGTAACACGCATGTGGTCATTTCGACCCCGGAGTGGGGGGGCCCGGGACACCATATCACTAAGACCTTCATACAATATCTCAGCACCATAACACCAACAAAACAGCTACATCTATCACCTTGAAGTAATGTCAGTGCACCATAACACTAACACCTTCATACACTACGCCGCAATTGTACCATGGTACATAACACCAAGACATTTCATTTATCACACAAAGCTGCCAACCATTACGTTTTTCCCAGAATTATTCTGTTTTTTCTCAAAATTATGGTAGTATGTTTTTTCTTCATAAAATACATGTTTTTTATATATATAATTTTGTGTTTTGTTTTTTTGTTGCACAATACCGCACATCAACCAAATGCCCTAAACTGTTGATCACTACTTCAATAGAAAACCAAGGTTAAAACATACGTGAAGGAGAAAAATATTCTCAAACAGAATGAAACGCTGATAATACCAAAAAACAAACTACCTACCTGTAAATAAACTATAGGATCTAATATGGAAATGTAACAGCATGAGGAATGGACATTTCTACATTGGAAGTGTGTCGATGGTGGTTTTAAGTCTTGTTTTAATGAATTCCTTTTTTTGCTTGAAATTCCTAATTTTGGTTACACAAGGTCGGCAGCTCTGATCAAAACACAATATGCATTATTACCATGTCAGCATATTTCACCATGCTGGTACATGCTCTACCAACCAATGTATTAATTATTCACCCTATTTTCTGAGTCTGTTTCATAGCTCCTATATCCTCGTCTCATTGCAAGATACATAATGGCATTTTGCATGATCAATTTCATAAGCCAAGGCCAAGTTTGAATTGATTTAGCAATGATTTCATTTTTGCCTGTAAATCGCACGGCATTCTCTCATTCTTGTCTCCAGCTGATCAAAGTTATTTCATGTTGTGGTATTTTTGCTTTCATCTACAAGTTTTGAATTGATATATGGCTTTTAGACTTTGGATACACATTGAATTCTAAAGGCTTGTGCAGATAAAGTGTGCTAAATTAACTGCTGAAAAAAGGTGCCACGTCTTTTTTAATGGTGTAAAATGAATGGCAACTTAAAGGGATCGTTTAACAATGTTAAATCTGAGATGCATAGCCCTACGTGTTATCAATGATATGGTATTATATTGAAGCCCTAAAAAAATGGCGCTTCAAAATTATCAAGAAGTGCCTCAAAAAAGTAAAAACCTTTGAGTGACCGGTTTTACCATACTCGTTTTCCACAATAGACTGTAGCATTATGAAAACCGTTTGGCAAAAGCAAAATTTGATTTCGATTAACAATCTTATATATCTTGATAATTAGACAGGCAATCGGCTCGTAAAAGTCATGGGGTTCCTAACCGACCTAAAGATTTATAATTATCATTGCAGGATGAGCTAAATCAAGGATTTTTTGAAAGGATCTAAGACAAAGTCACTGGATCCCTTTAAGCATATTCACTTAGCTCTGTATTATAAGATACAGTAATGTGACGTGTATTACACTTTAAGTCATCATTAAACACTGCTGCAGTTTTGCCGCATCATATCTGAACGAGCCTGAGATAAGAACATGTACATCTATGTAGGGGTGGAGTCTAAGAAGAATTGTGTGTTATACCAAAGTCAGATTGTACCCATCCTAATTTACAAAACCTATATGTGAAAGGCATATACCGACACAATTGCTAATCAAAACATAGGCCTAAAGAATTCATGTTCAGATTTGTTAATGTATAAGGCCAAATCAAAAATAAAAAGTTGTTTAGCATCCTGCCTTTTTGAAAAAAGGGAAAGAGGAGGCCCCTCTCTTTAATTTTTATTCATTTCAAAATGGCTGTTCGACACATATTTCAAGACCACCGGCTAGGGTATTTTTTTTCAAGATGACCGCCAGCTTTTATGTTTGATTTCAATTTTTTGCACTATGTTTTTCGTGTTTGTTCATACAAATAAAAAAGGAAGCGGCCTAAAAAAAGGAAGCGGGTGAGGAGGATAAACATTAATTTTGTTTTCATCGCCTAATTGTAATGTTCACCCACTTCAAAGGTGATGCACAGGACTTGTGAAATTGCCCTAGGATTATTTTAGAAAGTCTTTGTGATTGTGTAAAACGGTATATCTACATGTAATTGTCACAGGAAGCGTGTGTTGTAAAACCAGACAACATTTACGGCACATACAGTCAAACTTGTCTATAAAGACCATTCAAGGGAAACAGAAAAAGTGGCTACTGTAGACAGATGGCCTTTCTAGACAGGTTATACAACACACATTCCTTTCTCAAGGGTGACAAAATACTTGGCCATTATACACAGGTGGCCTTTATGGAGAGGTAACCACTATAACAGGTTTGACTGAACATGTATAGCTCCTACACATGTACATGTACAACTACAGTCAAACCTGTCTACAGCGACCGACCAAGGGAAACTCAAAAAGTGGTCTTTATAGACAGGTTTCTTTAGTACATGTTTCAATGAGAAACCATTTTCAAGGGAAACAAAAAAGTGCTTGTTGCAGACAAGTCTTTGGTCTTTGTACACAGGTGGTCACTAACTTTAAAAGCAGGTTTGACTGTATACACTACAACCTGTATGTGTCAATGCAGTGATACATTGCTAGTGTCTTCTGTAAGGCAAACTATTGGATGATAAATCAACACCTGGATTGAGTGTTGAACAATAACATGCTGTTTAATTATGGATAAGCATGGACTTTTTGCGTGGTGGTATATGTATGTATGAGCATGAAATTAAAACAGGCAAAGTATGTGTAATGGTGAGTCATTATCTGTACCACTCTGTTCCATGTAGGTGCTTGTTACATGCAGTTGGTTATGTATAAGTTTTTAAATGGTAGGGATGTTTATTTTGTGTGTTATATTTATTGAAGGTGCCATGTGGTATAAATACCATTATTACTTTTTTTTTTTATCTAACTGCTACAGATTTCTTGCATGTTATGAAGATTTTTGTTTCTTTTAAAAAAGTTATGATTTGAATTTTAAAACAAAATATTTGCCATCTTTCAAAAATATGAAGGGCTTATTATCTTTGTTGAATTGTAATAGTTCAAATTAAATATGACTTTCAAAATCATAATTGAGGTGATTCAATTTTGATTTTTTGATAATATTCGTTATTTCTTGTTGGAATGATTAATCAGTCTTTTGAAGAGAAAATGCCCATCAGACCCCATTATTCCTTTCAGAAATATTATGACCTCTTAACAAAACTGGTTCAATGCCTCAAAGGAACAAATGAGACAAACAAGTTCTTTTATGTTTTCCCGTGTTATACGTCATATGCTCAAATATCAAATTTTCCTTGTTATCGTTTGTTTTGGACACATTATATAACTTCCTAATGTATTCGGTAGCATGTTCTTTTGTTAAGTGGTCGGTTGTTTTATGGAATATTCAAGATAACCTATTGCATGTCAAAACAAAATATAACTAAAATAAAGAAAAAAGTAATAATAATTTTTTAAAATGTATTATTTCTTCCTTATAATGAAGAAGGTTCAATCGCAACTATTTATATACAAGACAGTGAGAAATTTGATTGTATTGATGTATTGTAATGATAGAAACAAACTAAGAAGTTAAAATAAAATAAAGAACGATTCTATTTGAAGAATGACACCTTGTGTATTCCGTCAGTTATTTCTCTTGAGTGGTTGAAAGGGAGAGTCCACCCTAGCATAAATTATTTTGATAAAA